CATCCCCCCACCCACCTCTCCACCGCCGCCGCGTTTGTCACCGGCTGCCCCGTGGCCTTGTCCGTCTTGAAGATCTTGAGCATGGTCACCTCCGCGGGGCGGTTCAGGCCCGCGCCCACCGGCGGCTTGGCCGGGCCCTCCAGGTACACCTCCACCCCGCCCCGCGAGATGGTGATCACGTCATCCAGGTCCAGCCCGCGAACGTCCACGGGCTCCAGCCAGGCCACGCTGCCCAGGCCGCGACGGCCGACGACAAACTCGGGCACCGCGGCGGCGGCGGCCGGGTCGCTGCGCGCCGCCGCCGCCAGCTCCGCCAGCGAGGGCACCGTGTAGTAGTCGGGGCGGGTCAGGCGCGGCAGCAGGCCCGCCAGCGTGGCATCGGGATCCGAGTCGGGGCGGTGGGCGGAGTGCGGGGACGCAGCGGCGGCGCTGTTGTCACCCGCGTCGCCGTTGGCGACGTCGGCACGGTCGTCCGCGGCGCCGCTGCCACCCCTCTTAGCCGCCGGGGACACACCGGCCCCTCCCTCGCCAGGCGCCGGCCGGGGCGTGCGCGGCGCCGGCAGCACGCCCGCCACGAACCCGGGCCCTGCGCCGGCGGCGGTGGAGGGCAGGGCGTCCCGGACGAAGAGGCGGCGCGGGTCGTCGCGCGGCGCGAACAGGCCCCCCGGGGCTGGCGCGTCGGGCGTCGCCGACGAGCCGCGAGCGTCGCACGGCGACGTGGCGGCCGCCACCGCAAACATGCCGGCGCCGGGCGAGGCGGCGGGCCCAGGCAGGGCAGAGCGAGGGGAGGGCGTGGCCTCGGGGCCGGCCGCCGCGCCGCGCCCACTCGCGCCCAGGTGACTCACTGCGCGGCCGGGGCGCATGCGCGACCCCGGGCGGGGGGTCAGCGTGCGCGGCACCGCCAGCGCCGGGATGCGGGGCGGGGGTGAGGCCGCGTAGCCCCACCCCCCGCCGCCGGGGGAGAAACCGGCGGGCCCGCGCTGGCTCAGCCCCACGCCGGACGAGGCGGGGGGCAGCGCGGAGGGCGGCGCGGGCAGGGTGCCGTAGGGTGAGCCCTGGCCGGCGGGCGCGGGCTGGGACGCTGCCTGCTGCTGCGTGGGCGGCGTCGCGCCGCCCGCCGCGCCGCCGAACGCCCCGCCCGGCGGCGCGAAGGAGAAGCCGCCGCCGGCCGGTGGGGCCGGGGTCGCGCCGGCCCCGCCCCCGCCGCCAAACAGGGAGCCGGTGCTGGTGCCGCCGAAGAGCGAGGGCGCGGGCGCCGACTGCCCCGCGGCGCCCGGCGCGGCGAAGGAGAAACCGCCGGTCGCGGGGGCCGAGGCGGCGGGCACGGCGCCGCCGAACAGCGACCCGCCCGTGCCGAAGGCGGGCGTGGACGCCGCCGCCCCGCCCCCGAACAAGGACCCGCCGCTGCCCGGCGCGCCAAAGGCGGGCGTCGAGGCCGGCGCGGCGCCGAAGGCAGGTGTGGAGGCCGGGGTGCCACCGAAGAGCGACCCACCGCCGGCGCCGCCGAAGGCCGACTGGGTCGCGGCGCCGCCGAAGAGCGAACCGCCGGTGGCCGGGGCGCCAAAAGGCGACGGCGCCGCGGCCGGCGCGCCAAAGGTGGGCGAGCTGTTGGCCGGCGCGGCGCCGAAGCCGCCAAAGGGCGAGGGCGCGGCGGGGGCGGCCGCGCCAAAGGCGGGCGCGCTGGCCGCGCCAAAGCCCCCGAACGCCGGCGCGGAGGCTGCGGGCGGCGCGCCGAAGCCGCCAAAGGCGGGCGCGGAGGCCGCGGGCGTGCCGAACCCGCCGAATGCGGGGGCCGAGGCGGCTGCGCCAAAGGCGGGCGCCTGCGTCGTGCCAAAGGTGGACGTGGCCCCGAAGGCCGAGGTCTGCTGCTGCGGCGCCCCGCCAAACACGCTGGTGGAGCCAAAGGCGGGGGAAGAGGCGGCCTGGCCGAATGCGGGTGTGGAGGCCACCCCAAAGCCGCCGCCGCCTTTGGGAAGGGAGGGGGGGGGGTTAGGAAGGTGTTTGGCGGGCGGGAGAGGTAATTTGGGAGCGGACCAGCTGCCATGCCAGCGGGAGGAGTAGGGACAGGGCACATCGAAACCCAGGACCAGGGTGCCACAGACGCGAGCGAGATCCGGCCCTGGAGATCCGTGATGGTGCAGCATGCAGCACGGCGTCCCCGACCTTCTCCCTGCCTTGATCCCCTCACGCGAGCTGCCGAGCGCCACCCTCTGCCACTCACCAAACGGAGACGGGCTCTGGGAGCCAAACGCGGGGGCGCTCGCCGCCCCAAAGACGGAGGGCGCGGAAGCCGGGGCTGCGCCAAACATGCCGCTGCCGGCGGCAGGGGCGCCCGCGCCGCCCTTGCAGCCGTCCTCGTAATCTTCCCGTCGCAGCTCTTCCACCGACTTGTTGGCGTACTCTGGCATGCATGAGATGCTGTTCAGGTACACTGCGCAGGGAAGTGTGTGTACGTGTGTGTGTCGGCGTGAGTGACCCTGGTCATGAGTGGCAGGTGAGTCGAGCCCCTGGCCGCAGGCGGCAAGCACTCGAGAGGCGCGGTGCGAGAGCCCGTCTCGATGCCAGCGAGCAGGAGAGCGTTCCTGCTCCCCCCCGACATGCAGACCCTGGGTGAGGGCTGGCAGCCTTCCGTCCCACAAGTCTCTGTTCATTCGCAGCCCGATACAGCCTCGGCGAGCGCGCAGGCACGAGACACCCCCACCCCCACCCCCACCCCCACCCCCACCCCCACCGACCCACCGGTGGTCTTGGGGCCATTGGCCGCGCCGTCTTGTTCCTGGGTCTTGCGCCAGGGCACGCCGCGAGTCCCCCGGCCTGCGGTGGCAGCGGCGCCGCCGCCAAACCCGCCGGGGCTGCCGAAGGAGGGCGCCGCGCCGAAGGTCGAGGCCTGCGGCTGGCCGAAGGGGGAGGGCGCGGCGGGCGCGCCGAATCCTGAGGTCGCCTGCTGCTGTGAAAGGGGCAAAGGGGGGGCGGCGAGAAATGGTGGGATGTCGCCCTCGAGCTTCCTGGTGGTGAGGCAGGGCAGCCAACTTTCTGCACCACTTCCCCATGCATGCCCTGTCGAGTTCACCCGACGATGTGTCCGCAATCAACCTGCCACCACACGAGCTCCTCTCCAATGTCCAGATGAATACCTGAGCTGGCTGGCCAAAGATGCCAGTGCTGCCAAAGGCAGGGGTGGGGCTCCCTCCAAAGCCCGTCCCGGGCTGGCTCTGCTGAATGGATGGTGGGCAGGCCTTCAGCCAGGATGCACCATCGATCGTCCTGAAGGACCTGGCCCCAGGCCCGCCGCGCAGCAGCACCTGAATCTGCATTGGCAACCCCCTCTGCACCCAGACACGCAGCGAGAGTGCCATCCACAGGGTTGTAAGACCGCAAGACCCTAAAGATCCCCCTATCGCTCGCGACAGGCCGATAATGGCCGCCTCGACACCCCCGGGGTCCCAGACCTGCGCGAAGAGGCTGCCCCCCCCGCCGAAAGGGCTTGCAGTGGTGTTTTGCGGCGGCGCACCAAACGTCGACCCGGGGGTGGCACCGAACGCCGGCGAACTCCCGGCCCCAAAGAGGCTGGAGGCTGACGAGGCAGCATTGAACGCAAAGCTACTGCCCGTGGCCGCCTGCAGAAAGAGGGGTCGGCAGAAGGGTGGCGGAGGGACAGATCACCGATGCTTAGGCAGCAGTGCAGGAGCGCTGCCACCCCCCCCACACATGAAGTGCATTCCCATCCAAAATATCAGCTCCTCACCCCAAACGCTGTGCTCCCAAAGCCTGATGCGCTTGCAGCACCGAATGCGGGGGTAGGAGTCGCGCCAAAGGCTGGCTGATTTGGCTGTTGGGATGGCGACGTGGGAAGGGTTGAGGCTGATCATCTGTCAAGGTCCTTCTTGGCGCACTTGGCAAGCAGTCGCATGCCTTGTCAAAGTGAAGTATTACATTCATCCATTTTTTTAGGTATCTAGTGCCCTCCAGCACTGGATCATCCTGCAGAGTCAGCCAGATGGCCCCAGGGAGGGCTACAGCCAGCCCATTCAACCTGACACACCAGAGATACACACCTGCCCAAATACGTTGGTCGGCTGAGTCTGTCCGAAGGGACTGGATGCAGCTGGAGCGCCGAATCCTGGCGAGAGGGAGAAAGCTTCTGGAGTCGATCGAGTGCCAAGCCGAGCAAGGTGTCTCAAAAGGGCACTCGGAAGGACAGGGCACACCGTGGCAGGGTGAAGTCGCATCGCCCTCTCACCTGTGCCTCCAAAGAACGACATGCTGCTCTCTGCTAGTCAGGCTGGATTGCGCCCAGCCCGATGGCGCTGCTCGCTCGAGCGATGGGGACCTTTGATCCCCTGTCTCCGTGGAGAGTGGCAGGGCACGGCCCTCCCACCTCCGATGAGGGTTCACTCCTCCTTGCACACGTCTTCGATGCCGATGAGAAGGGGACGGGTCCGCATGCAGGCCTAGCAAAGTACGCTGGGGGGGAGCCCAGCCCCATCGAGCGCGGGAGAACTCACATCCGATTTTCGGTGGGACAGGTGTTGTGGGCTAAGCCTTCGTGCGTGTCTCTTACACTTCACCTCACACCACAGACGACCGCATGGCCTCCTGACATGCCTCTACCTCTGCCTTACCCCCCAGACATACAGGACCCTTGGCCCCATGCTCTGCTATGACCTTGTCGAGGGCGGGCCCCGCCTCGTCGGTCGCCGCCCCGCCCGCGGCCACGGTGACGTATGCCAGGGGCGCCACCTCGTACAGGAGGCGCAGCTTGGGCTTCGCCCCAGCAGAGGTGGGGTTGCAGAACACGCCCCCGCCCCTGGTGATCACGTGGTGCAGGTCGGGCACCAGGGCGCCGCTGTACCGCAGCGTGTACCGCTCCTCCAGCCAGCGCCTCACCAGGCCCCCATACGCCTCGTTCTCGGCGCTCGCCCTGCGGGCGGCTCGGGCGCAGCGAGGAGTGCGGGGGGCAGTGAGCCGACAGCTGAGCGGGGCAGGATGGCATCGGCACGTGCAGGCCCAATCTCCACAACCCACCACAATCCTGAGAAGCAAGTGCCCAGGCCCAGGCGCCACCCACCCAACCCCTCCCCCACACACACTCACCTCAGGTTGGCAGGCGCAAAGGTCCGCACCCCGTCCCCGATGGCGATGCCGTCCCTCGCCAGGGCCCACGCCCCACCCTCGCCCAGCGTGAACTCCTGGCACACCGGGGACGAGCCGCCCAGGCCCCTGGCCACCACGAGGAGTGTTCGGGGCCCATACAGGGCATACGCCGCCGCCACCTGGTCCGACCCCGGTCGGCCAACCAGCTGCGACCCGGGCCAGACGCCAAAGATGGAGCCCACGGCCCAGCCGGCGGGGATGACGGAGGAGCCGTCCAGCGGGTCAAATGCCACCTGGGGGCGTTGCGGGAGACAGGGATGGTGGGAGGTAGGGCGGAGTTTAAGGTGCCCGGCATGCGGTGACCTTCCTGAGCCTGCAGGCAGGGGCCAGGCGCGGGGTTGTGCTCATCCTCAAGGCGGCGTCTCGAGGCACGCAGGCTACTGCTCCCTTGTTTGAGGGACAGCCGGCGAGCGTGATACACTGTCCTGGGACCCTATCTTGCCATCCACAAGCCTGGCAAAGGGCACCAGGAGTAGAGCGCCCTCCCGGCCTCCCACAGCTTCCATGGCCACCCCGCCCCCCTCACCGAGTACCCGAAGCCACCAAGTGCGATGTCGTGCGGCTGCTCCTCGCTGCTCGCAGTTTCCACCGCGCCTGAGGAGCGCAAGGCTTTGAGGACCGCTTCGTCGGCCACCACATCTGCAGCCAGCTGCCTGTCACCCAGGTCATTGGAGGTGCCTGTCTCTGCCGTCGATGCTGTCCTCAGGGCATGCTGAGCACGATTCAGATGGGAGGTGGGGGATGGGGGGTGGAAGTGAGGGCAGTGAGAGAAGGGGGAGCTCTCAGATCCACTGTCACGGCAAGGTGACACAACCGAGCATCTGAGGTCACCGACTCCATAGTACGCACAGATATGTCGACCACGGCGACTGCAATCGCTTCCAGAACCTTAATCTGTGAGATGAGAAGTTCCAAATGAGATGTGAGTGGGCCATGTGAGCACTCTCGAAGGTGCACCAAAGACTTGTAGCGTACACGGTCGCCGCACCAGTCCTGGGTCTGCTCCCTGAAGCGCCTCTGTGAGAGTCGGCATGCCTTTTAGATACAATCCTTTCCTGCTCAGACTGAATCGATGATGGCACTTTTTCAGGAGTGCCCAAGAATTGCATGGTGCAAGGGGGGGTTGGGTGGAAGTGATCTAGTCGCGCGCTCGACGGACGCAGCACAGCACGAGCCCCTTCGACAAAAAGTGCCACTCTGAGCTCGACCAGGTACAATGCCGATGCGTCCCTCCTGCAGATATCCTGAACTAGCACATCGGCTCCTATCCCTGCTCCCCCCGCCTGCGCCAGGTCGACTGGCCGTGCGGCGCAACCGAACCCAACAAGCACTGGTCTGGACACAATGGCGCCGAGATCCCGCAAGGCAGATGTAAATCCTTTTGTTGAGGAAACTGCGGAAGCAGCTGCGAAGGACAAGCTGGATCTGGGTGATGCGGCATCGATCAAGCGTGCCCTGGACGAGGCTGCTGCGGAGGTGAGCCGGGGTGATGCCCGATGCACTCGAGCACCGGAAAGAAGCCCTGGCATTGACTCAGCGAGGCTCCCCCCGCCCCATTGTGCAGGCCCTTCAGGGGGAGGGCTGCGCCCTGGATCACTCTGTTGTGGACACCAGGATTGCGGTGGGCGCAGCGACCTGCCTGGTCGCCCTCGTCGCACAATTCTGGCCAGCCAAGAGCCCCCACGCGTGGTACGTGCTGGTGGTCTGCGTCTCGTCCTATGCGGTGCTGAGCGCCACCCTCTCCCTGCTGGCCGCCCTGGTAGAGAAGGAGTCCATCGCGCGCACCAAGCCCGGCGGGGGGAGGCCGGCCCTGGTGCTATCCACCCACCTCCCCCGCTGGAGCGATCGGTACACCCTCACCCTGGCACCGGCCGGGGGTCAGGGATCCCATCAAAAAAGGTGGGACAGTCTGTGGGAATGAGCTGACGTGATCCCCTTGCATAGAGTCAGGACTGCTTCTGTATCGTGCTTGTGCATCAGATTGTGTCCCGCACTTGCACATTTGAGTACGTTTTCCCAGCCTCCTCCTGGACACAGGCTGGCCAGCGTAACAGCAACTCATGGGCTGGGCGAGCTCGTGCATGGCGACGGCGTCGTGGCCGTGGAGCGTGTGCATCGTGCAATCAAGGACCTGCTGGCACGGTTGGCAGGCGCGCAGGCCAAGGAGCAGTGACGAGGTTGCACTGCCTCCCTGCGTCGCCTGATGTAGCCCTATTTACGGAGTGGTAAAGACTTGCACCCAGTGGATGTGGTGAGCGGGTGGACACGCCAACTCGGCGTGGCCATGCTTGTAGACTTGCTGAGAGGTCATCATCGCACGTGCTCCGAGACGAATCTTGGGTCGCGCCCTGACGTAACGCGAGTTACCGCCGCTGTGCAGACATATGGCCAAGCACCCAATTCCCCGGCACTCCTTTAAATCTTCAATACATCATTTCAACGCATCTCGTCATGCGTGCCGTCCGTGTGCTCTCCCTCCTCGTGCTGGCCATTGTGGCAGGGTGCACCTCTGCGGACCTCGAGGGCACGTGCTGGAGTCTGGGGCCAGCTGAATGCTTCCTGCGTCCCGGATGCGAGTACTGTAACTTCTTCGGTCGCAAGAATGTCTGTATCTGGGATGCCGTTGCCGAGTACATTCCCACGAGTGAGGAAGGAAGGATCTTGACCTGGAATGGGCTGAGGGCGTGCAAGCCTCTCGTGATCAGGCATGTGCAGTACTTGGGTATCTAACTATTGAATCTGTTCCACTTGCCAGGCATTGCTAATTGCACGGTCACCCCGGGCCCAAAGAAGCCGGACCATGCGTGCGATGCGTACGCGGAGCAGGAGCCTTGCAACGGAGCACAGGGCTGCGTCTGGTGCATCAGCGCTGCAGTAAAGCCAGCATGCTATCCCCAGGATGAGGCGAAGCTGCTCCCCCCCGCAGTCTTCCAGTGCGACGCCCCGTCTCTGCTGGAGAGCCTGGTGTCCCGCCACCGCAGGGACATCATCTGAGGGCGAGAGAATGTTTCCTGCGAAAAGGGCTACAAGCCCGTTGGAGGCGGAGCCCAAGAGGCTGCGCACCTGAAAGTGCAGGTTCCTGCCATCCATATGTTCTCGCAAGGCTTGCTACATCCGAAGCGCCCTTGGCCTGACGGAGAGCGGCACCTGACCTTCCATACTCTGGTTCATGTGCCCTCCTCCATCCTCCTCGGCTTACTTTTGGCCCATACATGCCTTGAAGTAGAACCAGGTTGCTGCCCGATTGTCTTCCAGACGAATGGCCCGATTGTTCTGCAGCCTATTCATGCAGGTGTTGTGGTTCATGTCACCGTGTTCTCATCTGTGGGCATGACCTGTGTGTAACACTTTCATGGCTATCTGACAGACTAGGCAATCGTAGCAGGGCAAGTGATGCGCACACAAACAATATTCACTGGCAGGGGACAATGCTGTGCAGTATTGCATGATGAAGTAATAGCAGGGGCTCTCAGCTCCTCGATGATGTTTTGCAGGCGCCCATTCCCAGACGCACACAGCCTCCAGTCTTCACTCGGCGAGTTGATTGGGCCACTCTCTCCTGTGTGCGGATCAGGGGACATTGCAACATTCCCTTACACCTGGGCACGGGCAAGCCTTCCAGCAGGACACGCCGACCCTTGCCGCCGCCGCAGCGCATTCATACGCAATGCCGTCCAGACTGCAGGCCGGACGGCTCAGATGGGGGTGGCAGATGACTACGACGCCCTCATGCGCTGGGCCAGTGGCACCTCCTTATGGATCACAGGGGCACTCGCCCTTGCAGGCGACCTCAGCGCGTGCACCCTGCGCAATGCACTCGTTGCCATAGGTGACATTGTTGGTGCCGCACACAGGCGCATAGATGGCTGCGCAAGAGGCCACGGGGCAGGGGCACTCGCCCTGGCACGCGACCTCGGCGCGGGCGCCTTCTGCCACGCACGCATTGCCGTAGGTGATGTTATTGGTGCCGCACACGGGCGCATAGATGGCGGGGCAGAAGGTGGGGAGGATGCTGCCAGGGCCATCTCCCTTTGCAGGGCAGGGGCACTCGCCCTGGCACGCGACCTCGGCGCGGGCGCCTTCCGCCACGCACGCATTGCCGTAGGTGATGTTATTGGTGCCGCACACGGGCGCATAGATGGCTGCGCAGGAGGCCACGGGGCAGGGACACTCGCCCTCGCAGGCGATGGTGGCACCCTCTGCCTCTCCGACGCAGGTGTTGGGGTGGGTCTTGTTGGATGTGTCGCACACTGGGAGGTAAATGAAGGGGCAGGCAACCGCCTCCCCGATTGGTGCATCCAGGCTGGCTTGGGAAGGATACTTGGGCTTCTTCACAATCTTGTCCTCCACAAGACCAGCAGCCAGTGGGGAGCAATTGGCAGCCTCGAGGCTGGACAAGTCGTGATCGTTGCAGCCTGGGCGGGGAGAGTTTACCGACGGGAAGTGTGAGGGGCCGTGTGGCGCACATTCCGCTCAGGGTGGGCGCTGCGTCTTTTGCCTGATCAGCGCGGAACATACATTGAAATTATACCGACACAGTGACAGGCATCTTAAAGATCTTCTGTCCGGATTCGAGGGGACACGCACCTTGTCGAGCAAGGGCCACCGCGAGGAGGGCTAGGATACCCACAAGGACGGCCCTCGGGCCCTTCATTCTGTTGATCAAGGATGGCCGGGCCGCACAAGGGGAGCAGAGTCTTGATCTATGACTGTGTAAGATTGGCTTTGTTTATATGTAGTTGTAAACTGAACCTTGCCCTGGCGCGTTTGCCACTGTCTAGGTGTAAAATCCTCAACTCAACGCGGTTACCATGGAAGGTAAAAGAAGTCGAGCGCCGCGCAGCAGTTGCGCGTACTACTGCCGAGTGGTTTGTAATGTGTTGGGCATCCCAAATATGTGAGTTGCATCTGTCATGACATTCGTGGATGCCCACAATGCGCTCGGGTGGGCGCCGACGAGCGTTAGCGACGTATCTCAGACGAGTTGCCGTCGATTCCCGCACGATCCATCCGGAATAAAGTTGCGAGATCATGCAAAAGAATTCCCAAATCTTCCGCAACAGGACCTTTACATCGTATGAACACTTATAGCTGGCAGAAAAGCAAGATTTGCCCAAGCTAGCCGCCCCCCCTCCCCAAGAGTGGTTACACCATGGCCAACCTGGTGGCCGCCACGCTTACCTTGAAGTATCGCTTCCATTGATCCCTTAAACCTCAAGTTACGATTCCCTTGGAGCGGGTGGATGAGTTCCTGCCGGGCGAGGGCCGCAGCTTCAGGTTTATCTGCAATCACACCACCCGTCGCTCCGCCCTGGTCCACACTTAAAAATGACACCCCCCTAAAGCCGACTCTGGCGAACCCCCACCCGGTTCTCCTCCTCGCATTTACTCGAGATTCTCAACAAACACATGACTGGCTTTTGCGTCAAGCATAAAGGGTGCGCCCGTAGTCCGGGCAATTCCTACATTATTAAGAATCAGGCCATCACAGTGTCATGTGGAGGGTATCTGTATCCCTGGCGAGTAGGCGTCCCAATGTCCAAGGGTTACATGCGAGCAGGTCGCATCAAACGGTGAGTGGTGCTGCGGTACGGCAATTATGTCCCAAGTTCTATGATTGCTGTGGACCTGGGAACAACACAGATGACCATCGCGGAGGAGAGCAAAAGGAGGAGCATGCTGTGCATGTTGGGCGATCGCACATTGCTCCGTGGGCATGGGCGTACTCTCTGACAGGTTTGGGTCGAGAATATGTTGGTTGCGCCCAGCCTGCCGCGGGGACCATTAGATTTCTGCGTGGGATTCATCCCCCAATCTCCCAGAAATAAGTACTTGCGTGTGCATTAGGAGGGTGAGGGCATGCCTGGGCTGCTGGCACGGGTCTGTCCGAGCTGGGGTGACTGGATGGGTGCATCCTTTGGCACATATGTTCATGTGGAAAACTTGATGGAGGAGCAGAGGCGCAGCACCGCTGCACTTCATGGCGGCACAGTGGCCACATGCCATCAAGTACCGAGCGCATGCAACTCCTATGGGCCTGGCCTTCGTGACAAATTGGTGGTCGCGGTGAGACACCCTTGCAGATTTCAACGTCCTGAGATCCCTGGCATGATACCATCATACTAAAGCGCTGGGTTTGGGGTGCTTAGTTCTGAGCAATTGAGCGGGGTGCTGTTCGACATTGCAGTAGGGCCTGGGGCCATGCTGGCCCTTGACGAGCAGCCCCGGAGTGCGATGTGGGTGATAGTCTGGCGTGACGTCGAACCTTACCCGGCCATCGCCCGAGGTGAGATCATTTATTGAGTGGAATCCCCCAAGATGGCTTTGAGCGTCAGTTGGGGCAAGCGCGACATCCTTTCACGCTCATGTACGGGTTGACAACCTCCTGGAGGCAGGAACCCGGGCGAGGCACGGCTGTATGAAGGATGGGTAAAAATCTCCGGCTGGTACCTACAATGGGGGATAGCATCCGTATAGAGCACGAACCACCCAATCAGTCCTTCTGGAGTGGCGATTCTCCGCAGAGCATTTTGAGGTTGTCAGCAGGTCCAGATCAACAGATACACTTGCACTGCACACTGATCCCAAGCAAGGGACCAGCGTTCCGTGCTGCTAACGACCAGCGCAGAATTGCAGCCCCCGCGCCGCCTGAGGGATGGCAACAGTGTAGCCCACGGTATGCGGCCCGCTCTCATGCAGTGCTGGCGGGTGGTACGGCGGCATATCCATCAGCCATGCCAGCCTCTTCAGGGTGCCCCATTGTACTGCGCCCTTCTGCCCATGCTCCCGCCTCTCTTGAATCGCGGCAGCCGCTTGCCTGGGGGCCATGTGGAGAGGCACGGTAGATGCTGCAGCGTGGGGCACAACTCGCACCTGCTGCTCAGATCTGCTTCTCTTTGCCCTGCATCTAAAGGATGTGAGCTGCCGTCTGTGGTGACATCATGCACTGCAGGCCCACGACCCATGCCCCACTGATGTGCACCGTGCTTCCTTCCTTCTTCCTCACCATGTCCAGGGCGCGCCGACTTTGATGAAGGCCACTGCAACTCCCGCTCTCGTCCGCTCTCCAGCTCGTAGTCATGGCCGGCCAGGCCATTTTGAAAGTGCATCGCAGGCAGCGGGCCACACCCTCGCCTCCAGCGTCCACCGGACCCTCAGCCCTGCCCCACATCCTCGCCGTACTCCAGGGCCACGAGCCGCGTGCCCATGAGCAGCTCCAGCGTGGAGTTCTGGCGGGGGATGCGGATCCGGCGGTCGCCCGGCGTGACCAGCACCAGCGAATGCGGCCGGCTGAGCGCCACAATGCCCGTCAGCCCGGCGGCGTCGGGGCGCGCGGCGCAGGCCTTCACCCTGACCAGAGCGCCGTGGAGCTCGGCGCCCAGGAGCCGGTCGCGATAGGCCTCGAGGGTGACGCCGGGGTCGCGCGCAGCCAGCCTCTCCGCATACGCCCGCCACAGCGCGTGCACGGGGAGGAGGCCCAAGTACCTGCGGCGCAAGGTGGGGATTGAGGGGATTGGGGTTGGGGAGGTTGGGAGGTTGGGGGGCGCTGCGCCAGAAACAAGCATGCACGTGCAATGATTCCGGAGGAAGCGCCAGTCATGGACCAGCGCTCCACCGTCGCTGCCGGGGGCGCACAGCATCTGCTGACAGCGCTGAATCCCCCGTCCAACTCGTCCACCCCCAGGCATGCCCGTCGTGACAAACACTTGTGGTGCAGCGTGGCACCCAGACTCTTCGACTCACGTGACGGTGGCCAGGGCGGCAGCGCTCAGCGTCCCACCCTGGCGCCTGGCGCGCTTGGCTGTCTGCCGAGCGCCTCCACCTGGATTGGCAAGAGGGACAATAGGCGTTCTCGTCGGCAGAGACAATTGCAATTAGCCGAGCACTCCTGTGCAAAGTGCAGCAATGGCACCTCCATATACCTGTCCCACAGCCTCGGGATCCTGCATCACTCACCCTTTGACTTGGCCTTCACGGGGTTCTCCAGCAGGATGCTCTTGTCTTGCATTCGGAGGGAGTATGGCGCACTGGAGCGTGCGCCGTTCCCCGACACCAAGCCTCCGACCAGCGCCTCTACAGCAGCTTGTGGATCACGTGCGGGAGGGGGAACCTGCGCAATGAGATACCAATGTTGTAAGGGTTGTCGTTCTAAGATGGAAGGTCTCTCAGACGATGGTAACCCAGGAGACGGGAGTGCAGAGGCTATACTCCGCCTAACAAATAATCTTCTTGTCAGAAGCCTTGCACACACTCATTTCACCCACCTTGAGGACCTCTGCGGCCAGCAAGCCTCGTGGCAGGGCATCGTACACCGGGTGGGATTGAGGGGATTGGGGTTGGGGAGGTTGGAAGGTTGGGGGGCGCTGCGCCAGAAACAAGCATGCACGTGCAATGATTCCGGAGGAAGCGCTTGTCATGGACCAGCGCTCCACCGTCGCTGCCGGGGGCGCACAGCATCTGCTGACAGCGCTGAATCCCCCGTCCAACTTGTCCACCCCCAGGCATGCCCCTCGTGACAAACCCCTCTGGTGCAGCATGGCACCAGACTCTTTGACTCACGTGACGGTGGTCAGGGCGGCAGCGCTCAGCGTCCCACCCTGGCGCCTGGCGCACTTGGCTGTCTGCCGAGTGCCTCCACCTGGATTGGCAAGAGGGACAATAGGCGTTCTCGTCGGCAGAGACAATTGCAATTAGCCGAGCACTCCTGTGCAAAGTGCAGCAATGGCACCTCCATATACCTGTCCCACAGCCTCGGGATCCTGCATCACTCACCCTTTGACTTGGCCTTCACGGGGTTCTCCAGCAGGATGCTCTTGTCTTGCATTCGGAGGGAGTATGGCGCACTGGAGCGTGCGCCGTTCCCCGACACCAAGCCTCCGACCAGCGCCTCTACAGCAGCTTGTGGATCACGTGCGGGAGGGGGAACCTGCGCAATGAGATACCAATGTTTTTAGGGTTGTCGTTCTAAGATGGAAGGTCTCTCAGACGATGGTAACCCAGGAGACGGGAGTGCAGAGGCTATACTCCGCCTAACAAATAATCTTCTTGTCAGAAGCCTTGCACACACTCATTTCACCCACCTTGAGGACCTCTGCGGCCAGCAAGCCTCGTGGCAGGGCATCGTACACCGGGTGTGGTGGCGCGACAGCTGCAGCTGAGACCAGAGATGGCGATGCTATGCTTTTCACTTCAATTGTGTTGGTCGATGTCTTGGGATTGGACCCCTCGAGCTTAGCTAGACGTCGTTTCTTCGCAGCCGAAGTGCTGCCATCCACCTTGCTCATATTCAAGACTTTCCTTCCTGGTCAAATGCCTCCTTGATTGTACATAGTCCCATTCTGTACTGCTTGCGGTGCGCCCACACGTCATGGTGGCCTGCTCGGTGCCGTCCCCCCCCCACCAAAACAACAACAACATCAACATCTACAGGGTTCCGCGCCGACACGTGAGGAAGCCCGGGTCGAAGCTGCAGTGCCTGATGAGATCAGACGCCGCCTCACCATACCTCGCCTAGAGCCTGCATGAGGCCGCCAGAACCACTGCGACGGAGCAAATTCTGGGTAAATTTCTAGAGCAAGGAATACTAGGCGGACTGTATCCAAGGAGCCCCCCGTAGCCGACCTCATTTGCGATCGCGAGTGGCATACACCAAGTCCCTGTGAGCTCTCTACACTCCGTTGTGGAGGGAAAAATAAAGGATTCAGGACTGCATATAAAATTAAAGGTGATTGTGGGTGTCGCGGAGGTGTGATCACGGGTGCGACCCGGGGATGTATACTTCGCCTCTATCCACCTTGCAATCGTTTTGTCTCGACATTTCCACCATCTTTCGGTCGTGTGTATCTCACTCTTACTTTTGAGGGCGGTTGGGGTCGCTGGCAAGCCTGCAATGCCTGGATCACGATCCCGGATGGGGTGTCCCCGGAGGGGGAGGGGCTACCCCTCTCCGAGCCTTGCCCTGCCCATGGGCTGGCACAAACTTTGCGACACCAACCCGGACCCTCCCGCACGCACCCACAATCGGTCACACCCACTCGCTTCTCAACTGAATCTTTTTTACAGATCATTCTGGTGGTTTACGGTGCCCTGATCTTTGCCAGTCTGCCGCACTCACCTGGTAAGACGGGACCTTCCCCCTCCCCCGCACTGCCACCATTGTGCCTGCGCATCTCCCCTCGCCAGCCAATTGTTCTCCAATGCCACTCGGATGCTGAATGTGGCTCGCCCCACCCCCCCGGCCTAGCCTCCCTGACCTACTATTCCAGGCTCGAGATGTCGCGGCCCTCACCCAGCCATCTCTCACCGACCCATGCCTGCCCTTGCAGGCATGCACATAGGACAACCATGACTTTGGTCCAGATCACAGCTTCCTTCGATACCCTGGACACCCTGCGGGCGACACCTCTTCCGGGGGAAGAGTTCCCCTACGCTACCACTGGCTATTGTGGGGTGAAGTGCTGCTCCAAGTGCGGCGCAACCAAGACACCACAGTGGCGTGAGGGCCCTTGTGGTGAGTGGGATCATGGATCGGCGGGGTGGTCGGGGGGGCCGAGACTCTTTGGGGGGGGGAGAGGGGTGGGGTGAGGGGTGGGGTTCAGTGTGATGTCTGTGGCAGACGTGGCTGCATCCATCTGGGGTCCAGCATGCGTATCACTTCTGCCACGCTCGCTGCGCGATTCCGCCTGGCACATCCACCTTTCACATCCCTCCCCCGCCGGACCCCCTCGCCCCCTCCTCCTCCAGGGCCCAAGACACTGTGCAATGCGTGCGGCGTGAAGCGCACCCGCACCCTGCGCGCCCTGCAGGAGGGCAGCAAGCGCCGGCGCCCCTCCCCCGCCGCGCTGCGCGCCCAGGCCGACCCGTCCGGCGCGGGGTGCGACTCGCCGGACGTTTCGTCGGCCGGCCTGTCCGCGCCGCCCCCGCTCTTCGTGGGCACCGGCTTCGGCCCCGCCGCGCCGCGGCGCCCCCAGCGCCGCGCGGCCGAGGAGGCCGCCGTGCGCACCGCGCGCTACGCGCGCACAGGCGAGTGGGGCGAGGCGGGCGCGGGCGCGGCGCCGGCGGCGCCCGCCTCGCCCACCTCCAGCCAGGACACGGCGCTGGGGCCGTGCGGGGAGGGCGTGGAGGAGCTGGCCTGGACGCCGCTGGCCGCGGAAGCCGCGGCCCGCCACGGCCTGGGCGCCGCCGCCATCGACTCTGCCTGCTATGCGGCGGTGAACCTGATGACGCTGGCGGCCAAGGAGCGCGCGGGCGGAGAGGCAGCCTGGGCCGGCCGGCCGGCCCCGGCCCGCGGCGGCGACGGCGGGGACACCCAAAACACGCAGCGCCCCGGCACGCCCGTGCCGACCGGGGCCGGCTCGACGAGCGGCGCCCCGCTGCCGCTGGGCGCGGCCTCGCCGCTGCCCGTGCAGCGCCCTGCGCGCCCGTCCGCCGGCACCCTCGGGGGCGGCGGCCTGCCCGCGCTGCCGGCGCTGACGGGCGTGGACCTGCCCGCGCTGTACAAGTCGCTGCCGCCCAGCCAGGTGGTAGAGCTGATCGGGCTGAACGCGGAGCTGGAGGGCGCGCTGGCCGCCGCACGCGACGCCGGCGCCTCGGTCGCCGCGCTGGCCCAGCTGCTGGCTGAGAAGCAGGCCGCGGGGCTGGCCGCGCGCCAGGCCGCGCGGGCCGCCTCGCGCCGCATGCACCGCTTCCTGGACTCGCTGCGCTGCTGAGCGCCGCGGCGGCCGGGAGGAATGGGGGCCGGGGCCGACCCGCGGGGCCCCCCCAGCGCCCCCGCCCCCGCCGCACGCAAACTCACCCCCGCAAAACCCCCCGCACTGCCCAAGATCGACCCGCCCTTGACCCCCGCACAGACCCCAACCCAACACCCCCGAGCGAAGACTGAAGCCGGGGGGCCGCGCGTGTCCCCCTGCACGGCACCCTCGCCGTGCCCGGCGCAGGAGCAGATTCTGGCGGGCCCTGCGGTGCGCGCCCGGCCCGACGCGGCCGCAGAGCGGAGCGGCTCGGCGAGCGCCACCGCCCGCCGCGTAGCCCCTCCTCCACCTCATCAGGTCCCCCAGTGGCCGACCCACCTCCGAGCGACAGCATCAACCCTGTGAGAGCACGTGTTTCCATCTTCTTTGTACGACGCAGCCTCTGCGCACCCCACCCGGCTGCCCTATGGAGGGCGGCGGCGAGAGCGGCAAGCCGGCCGCTCCATCGTGCCAGGTCGTCCCCATCCCCACGGACCGAAATCAGGGGGGCCGGCGCCAGCCTCGCCCCTCCCGCCACCCCACAGCACAACGCCAGGACTCCCCACCACGCTGCTTGGCTCACTGCCCATTCTTCCACCCTTGCCCAAACTGTCCGCAGATACCTGGACCCACGCACGACACCCGACACGGCTTGTTCTCCCTGTGTTACCCACCTCCGCCTGCAGCGTCTATGCTGTGACCCTTGTGGGGCCCCCTTCTGGCCCCCCGCACCTTGCCTTGTAGCCTACCATGACCCACGGAGCTCTTCGCCCACCCCCCGGGGCCGCCAGCTTCGGCGCCCTTTCCCTACGCCCTGCCGATAGATTTCATTACCCATGCCGCCGGCTGCCTGGATGACGGCAACCGGCCAGCCACAGCTTAGACATTGTACATCCATCCCTTGGAAACCCAGTGCAGCTCACAGGAGAAGGTCGAAGGGGGGGGGATGGGGCACAGCAGCCTGGTTGTCTGTATGTCGAACTCAGGTGTGAGGACCCCCTGGGCGCTGGAGCAGGGATTCGTGGATGCACCCAGGAGGGCAATGGAAGCGGGTGGCGACCTATGTTGGTGGGGAGGGACCCTCCCGCACGCACCAGTCCTCCTCCTGCACGGCTCACTGGGCAGCCTTTGCGTCGCGGGCATCGCTGTCCTTCAGGTGGTCGATGGCCAGCTTGCAGATGCCGGTCATGCTGGCCTCCGGGCCATATACCTCGATGTCGATGCCGATCTCGGAGCCCAGCGCGCGCATCGCGTCCAGGCCCGCGCGGTAGTTGGGGCCCCCGCGCCGCACGAACAGCTTGAGCCGCGCCGCCTTGACCGCGTCGGCGCGCTCGCGGATGGCCTGGCGCAGGCGGGGAGGGTGAGTGCAGGGGGTGGGTGGGAGGTGCTGCGATCGCTTGGCCCCACTGACTGGCGTGCAACGCCGGGTCAGCGAGTGCGTGGGGCAGGGATGGCCACTGGTGGTCTGTGAATGGCCGCGATTCCAGGTCCATCGCTTGCCCGCGGACGTCAGGGATGCAGCGCACGACCTCTGGGTTCATCGCATCTGACCCCCGTCAGTGGTCTCTGCCTTGCCCCTGGACACTCCCCCGCCTCAGCCCCCCCGACAGGGATCCCCCCCCACCCACACACCAAGACACCTGAATGATGCCCTTGAAGGTGGCGGCTACGTCGGTGAAGTTGGCTATGCCGCCGCCGACGATCAGCGCGCGCGCGCGGCCGTCGGGCCCTGCGGTGGTGCAGTCCAGCAGGCGTAGCGCGTAGGCGTGGGTCTCGGCCGCGTTGGGCCCACCCGAGTACTCGGCGTAGTTGCCCAGCTCGTCGGCCGCGCCCAGGTCGCCCACGGTGTCGGCGTAGATGACGGAGGCACCGCCCCCCGCGACCATGGTCCACACCCGACCGCGCGGGTTCAGCACGGAAAGCTTGAGCGAGGCGCCGGTGCCCTCGTCCATGCGCGCGACGGCGGCCTCCGCGGGGCCCAGCCGTCGGCCGAAGGGCAGGGGGAACTCCAGGTCGCCCCACTTCTTGGCGCTGCGGAAGGCGGCGGTGTCGTCCAGCTCGCCGCGCATGTCCAGCGGGAAGGGCGCGCCGTCGGGGCCCAGCGTGAAGGGGTTCATCTCCATCAGTGTGAAGTCCAGGTCGGTGAACACGGCGTGGGCGGTGGCCAGGAAGGCCTCCATCCCGGGGCGCAGCTCCAGGGGGAGCGTGGCCAGCAGGGGGGCCAGGGCCTCGCCCGTCACCGCCTCGCCCACCGCCAGGCTGACGCTGCGCACCTGATCCCAGTGCTCCTCGATCTCCACGCCGCCGGCCTCGGAGAAGGACAGGTCCGTGCCGGCACGCGTGCTCTGGATGCACAGGTAGTACTCGGCGTCGTGAGGCACAAAGGGCTCGATGATAAAGCAGTCGATGGGGCCGGATACGGTGCCCATGTTGATGACCGTAAGGGGGGGGGGAGATGAGAGTGGGGTTGAGGGACAGGCGTGTCAGGGGAGCAGAGGCGTGCAGGATGTGTCGGAGCCACAACTTCACGATGCCTGAAAAGTGGCTGCGTCAGAGACGCTATGGAGATCGTTTATCCACAGCTGCCTGCGTGTCCCCTAACCATGCGGCCCCTCCCACCCACCCATCCCCCTTTACAGGCTCCCACCTTGCCCATGCGCTGGGCGATGAAGTCCTCGGCGCCAGCCAGGTCCAGCTTGAGGCCCACCAGGTCATGCTTGCCCCGCTTCCCAAACAGGCAATCCGGCTTCACCACCAGAGGGGTGGTGCTGAGCCAGGGGTGGGCAGTCACCAGCGCCCCGAAATCGGTGTCCGCCTTCACCTGGGCCACCCGGATGGGGAGATCGAGCCCACCCAGGCGCGCCGCGTGCACCTTCAGCAGTGTCTTGGAGTTGTACTCCCTGGATGCCGGAGGGGTGGGTGGGTTCGTAAAGGGGAGAGCCGGCGTGTAGGGCCCGCGCACCCACCTCGTTCCCACGCCACGCACCTAATCTTCTTGCGGGCCATCGTGTACTTCAGGACAAGCTCTGCTCAGGACGAAAGGATGCAGGTGCGAGAGGTGACGATTCTGCGCGCGGTCAGTGTCCGGGCCTCCCCCAGGCAAAGGCAGTCGCTGGAGCCGGTCAAGCTCTCTGGACCTGGGAATCGCTTGATCAGCGCGCCTGATGAAAGCCAAGCACAGTGTAATTTTTGTGCCCGGGAGTACTCACGCTCGTCAGACCAAAGGCCTTGGAAATTCTATTCACGGCTTGTCGTAAATCATGGAGTGTTTGCTGACTCGGACGGGCTACGGCGAGTCAGGAGCCAGGGAGCCAGGTTATCAGCATACTCGCATGCTGTATTTCTTCACCCATTCGTTGCTGACAGAAAGAGCATTAAACCTCTCCATGCCCCGCAAAGCTGTTACTGCTGCATGATGGTCGGTTGTGCAAGGATGGCCTCGACTGATTCTGGTCAGTCAGGGATCACATGTTGTGCATTGAAGTGACGAACATTTGCCATTGTAGGCTAACCAAGACTAAACAATCAGTTATTGGAGTGGCTGCAGGAAGAGATGTCGACGTGGATCCACAGAGGGAGTTCACAAGAGAAAACTCTGAGCGCCAGCAAGTCTTAATGCACAACTGCGCAAGCCGTTTTGCGGAGAAGTTTTGTTTCACGATTAGATACAAGCGATCATCTTAGAAATGGAGATGCGTATTGATCGGTGGACCTCCCGTCCCGGCGCAGGGTCTCGGAATCTGCGCCTGTCACCATCCTACCAGAGGATCGAGCGCCCGGGTCGATCCCATCCGCACATGCAGCAGAGACTCCTTCGGAAGTATCCATGGACGTCGCGCAGGGCAATGCCTCTTCCCCCACACTCCCGGCAGCTAGTGATCGTTCGTGTGTCAATTTCTGTGCTCCTAGGACAACCTCACAGCACCCCGCGGCAGCGGCGTCGGCGCCTCGACCATGGCAGGCTTATCTTGCGCCCTGCCTGCCCGACCTCGCGTCTGCCCCTCCTTCACCGCGAGTGCTGCCTCCAGCAGCCGCATCTCTGGACATTCTACCCCCACCCTCGGGAGGACTCCATGCCTCCTGCTCCCGGGAAGGATGACACGTGCCCGCCCGGCCTTCGTCACGGGCTGCCCCGCCCCCCGGCTTCGCTTTACCACTACTGCCTCCCTCAGCCCGCCTGCCGGACATGTGAGCACTGCATGGGGTAGACGGGAATGGCGATTGCCCTGCGAGGCGAAGCACATGGTCACTGGTTGGGGAGTGGGTTCGGGTCGCCCTGTTTTCAGGGCACCTGCATCCCCCGGGACCACATCCCGCATTGGCGCCGTGCGAGAGCTCGCCCCCCTCTCCTTCCCCCGCGTGCAGGAGCGGCAAGGCTCCCCCAGCACCAGTGGGGCCTCCCCCCTGCCCACGTGCCTTGCGGCGCCCACCACCGGCATGGCGCGCGGCCTGGGCTCCTCCTCGGGCGGCGCGACGCTGGAGCGCTCCAAGCTGAGCCTGAAGCAGCGTGTCACGCAGACCGCGCCCAAGCTGGACGACGGCATGGGCGGCGGTGGGCTGGGTAAGGGCGTGTTCAACGGCGGCGGCGGCGGCGACGACGGCGGCGACGACGATGACTACTCCGGCGGCTTTGGCGAGGGCGATGACGGCGGTGGCGACGACGGCTTCTTCCGCAAGGTCCTGTCGGAGCTGTATGACGCGCGCGCTCTGGCGGCGGTGCTGCAGGAGTGGTACCGTGGCGTAGGCGACCTGCCCTTTGTCCTGCGCCAGGCGGTGCAGATGGGCCTGGTCTCCTCCGCTTCCCTCGTCCGCTTCATGGCCATGGACGTGCGGCCCGGGGTCACGCGCGCGCTTACGCGCGCGCTGCCCCCCACCGTCTCGCGCGAGGTGGTAGGCCGCCTCATGGCCGACCCGGCCTTCATGCAGAAGCTGGCGCTGGAGCAAGCCATCACAATCGCCTCCAGCCTGGCGTACGAGGCGCGCACGCGCGGCGACGCTTTCCTTTCCGAGCTGGACCTGGTGGCGGCCAACACGCTGAGCCTGGCCGCCGCCAACGCAGCGCTGGTATACCTGGTGGCGCCGACGCGCGCCGCGCCGGCGCCCGCGCGCCACGCCTGGCGCAATGCCCTGGCCCGCCTGCCCAACAACGTGTTCGATGCGGCCACGCCCATGCGCGCCTACACCCCGGGAGCGCGCGCCGCAGCGCTGGGCGTCAAGTGCGCCCAGCTCTGCGGCGTGGGCCTGGTGGCCGGCGGCGCGCAGGCCGCGCTGGGGCGCGCGCTGTGCGCGCTGCGTCGCGCGCGCGACCCCACCTACGCGCCCTCCGTCCCCGTGCCTGCGCTTGGCAAGTCGGCGCTGGGCGCCGCAGCGGCCATGGGCGTGTTTGCCAACGCGCGGTACCAGGTGATCGCGGGCGTGGACCGCTACCTCTTCGATCATGCCGCCTACCTGTGGAGCTACCTGGCTGCCTCGGGCGCCTTCCGCGCGCTGTCCACCCACCTGGGCGACCAGACGCGGCTCTACCTGCAGGGCATGCCCCTGGAGCGCCCCGCGCCCGCGCCGGGGTCCACCCCCGAGCGCGAGGCGGCGGCGCGCGAGCTCGCAAAGGCGCTGAAGCAGCAGGCCGCGGCGCGGCAGGCAGCGCCGGCGCCGCCCAGGCGGCGGAAACGCCCCGCCGGCTTTGAGATGGGCATCGGCGCCCCGGCTTGAGGCCTGGGTCGGTGGTGGGGCTCTGGGTTCCCCCAGTGTGGGCTCTCCCGTAGCCCGCCCAGCCCTCAACCGCCCCGTCTCCCAAATGCGCCAGCACCGCCGTCGCGCCGCGGGCCGTAATCGGCCTAGCACTCGCGTGCCTCAAACCTTCTCCCACCATTCTTTGTAACCTGTTCACTTGTTGCGCGGTCCGACCCTGCGCTGCTGGGACCTGTGTGTGCCGCCCCCCCCCCCCTCCCCTCGCTCTGCTGTCGCCCCATCGTTTGAAGAAGCTCGACAAAAACAGTAGAAAAGGGGGATGATAGAAAGGGGTCTCTATTTAAGCTTGCTTCAATCGGCGCTGATGACGGGGTGTCGCAGCATGTGGGGGGTCATATTTATGAACTACTCAAGCTACGGGGTCTGCTGCTCCTGTCTGGGCCGAGGCCTCGGAGCTTGCGGCCATGCCGCTGGCCACCATGGCGCCAGCGGGCGTTCCAGGCGATCCGATTGCAGCACCAGGTCCTGCGGGGACTGCTGTTGCGCCGCCGGCACTTGTGCCGGCCGCCGATGTCGCATTGGTGGACACCTCCCCTGCCGTCGTGCGATCTGCGACCACGCCCTCTGTCAGGGCGCTCTCTGCCGCTGCGCCTCCGATCGTTGCACCCTCTGCCGCCGCGCCTCCGATCGTTGCACCCTCTGCCGCCGCGCCTCCTGCCACTGCGCTCTTTACCACGGCGCCTCCTGTCACAGCGCCTCCTGCCACGGTGCCCTCTGCCGCAATGCCGCCTGTTCCTGCACTCTCCATCGCGCCACCTCCTGTCGCCGCGCCACCTGTCTCTGCACTCGCTGCCACGGCGCCTGCTCCTGTCCCTGCCACATCAGGGATGTGGCCGGTTCCCACTCTCACCGCCTCCTCACCACGTGCCCCGCCCGCAGCGCGGCTCGTGGCAAGCGCGGCTTCCCAGGACAGGGCGTTCCCCTCGGCGTCCAGGGGGAAAGCGCGGAGCATGGTGGCGGGCGCGACCTGCTCCGGCCCGCCGTCCGGCCAGGCCGCGGCGCGCCGGCAGTCCTGCCAGGCGCGGATCTGGACGTGGTGGAAGTAGGGCATGGTCTTGACGCGCGACATGCCGGAGCCGCGCAGGATCTTCTGGCTGTAGTCCCACAGGCTCTTGCTGACGTAGTGGCGCAGGACCAGGCGATCGTAGACGGGGGCCGCCGACTTGGGCCCCAGTACCCGCCGCCGGTCGGTGGTCACCGCATAGTACCCGCGCCGGTACTCGGCGTGGTGTGCGCCGCCGGCGCGCGCCACGTAGGCCGTGTTGGCCACCGTCTTGATGTGCACGTTCTCCGGCTCGCCCACGGGGTAGCAGGAATGGTAGGCGTCGGGGGCGGGGGTGCGCGGGCGCTCCAGCCGCCCGCCCGCACCATACATCCGCCAGTTCACGCCCACCCCACCATAGGCCTCGTAGTCGGCCAGGATGGAGACCAGCGTGGCATTGGCCTCCCGCACTGTCAGGTATTCGTCCGCGTCGATGAAGGCTGGGTTGTTTGGGGGGGGGGGCCACGCGGGGTGTAGTGGTGCAGGGATTGTATGGTGAGACGGAGATCTGACGTGGGCCTTGAAGGGGATGAACCAGGCACGGTGACGGACCAGGAGTGCGGATCCAGGGCCCCTTTGCCTCCTCCCGGCAAGGAGCATGAGCAGGAGTGCAGGTGGTGGGCCGTCCCGTGGTCCAGTCCAGGGTGCCGAGGGATCTCCAGACGCAATGGGGGCACATGTGCTGCCGGCTGGGTCCGGTGGGGATCCTCGAACATGTGCACCAACCAGGATGACCAGTGTGTCGGGCGGCCAGCACGACCATGTCCCCCCACCCCAGTCCCCCTGTGGCCCTGCCTCACCCATCCAGCGGTGCTGGAGCCGGAAATCGCGCAGGCAGAGGGAGTAGGCCAGGAGCTGCTTGTATTTGGCATTGATCAGGCGCCCTGTGGTGTTGAGGATGTCCTCCTGCAGCTCTGTCGCGTTGCTGGCAAGGATGTGTCGCACCAGGCCCGACTGCATCAAGGGCGGCAAAGGAGGCAGGAAGGGGGGCTGTGAGGGTCGCCTCTGGACAGCGACAGTGAACCCTGAGGCAGTGAGGAGTCGGGACACCACCCACAGCACGACCCACCCCTGGTGTCACCCCCGCGCCTGCCGACCTGGACCAGGCCCGCACCCTCCAGCACGGGCCTCAGGGACTCCCCGGAGTCCACCACATAGATCCGGTCCACGCCCAGGGCTTCATGGTACCGCGCCCAGTCCACGATGTCCCGCTGCTCGTCTGCACGTGTGTGGCCGTGGGCCAGCCAGGGGTCTGAGTGCAGGGGCATCGAGCGTGGTGCGGCATGCAGGATGCGCTGCAGGGTTGCCATGCGTGCCGTGCTGCAGACCCTCCTGCCCATTGCGCCGTCCTACTTGCTGCAGACAGACAGATGCACACATAGGAGGAGTCTCCCGGGACGGCGCCGGCGGGTGAGGGCTCCTGTGTCCCCGTCTCCTGCACGGTTGGCACCATCACCGCGGTGAAGATGGGCATGCAACCAAGCCACAGCCGCCCCCTTGGTGATTCATGGGCTTCTGCGCGGACCGAGACCGATGCTGCCTCGTGGTACAGGACCCTCCGTGCCAGGCCCCACCTGAGCTGCACCGGCAGTGGCAACGAGCAGCACTACGAACACCAACATCCCCTGAGAAGGGATCCCATGGTAGGGAGTTCGCATTTTGACAGACTCGGGCTCCTGATGCAATGATCGGCGACCCCGGGGCCTCGGGGCGGCCCCCTCACGCAACTGCTGTCTGCAATCACCCAGGGAGGCCGAGCGGGATCTAATAACACAGCATCAGATCACAGGATCCCACAGGAGTATTTGATAAGGTTGGGAGTAACGAGGATCCTCTGCATGTGACGTCAAGGTGCAGGGCAGGTGAGGTATGAGATCGGCAGAGCGCCCCAATATGTTACCACCCGACACCCTCCGGGATGACTTCCTCCACACCAAGAACTGCACCCTCCTCACAGACGTCCTGCACATGTCGATGTGATTCTCAGCATCCTAACAAAATCATCATTATGACGAATTGATGAAGTGAATCATGCCCTGGAACTAGTGTGACGTTGAACAGCAGAGATGGTGCGGCCCTCGGCAGAACTCCTGGACGAGATCTGCGTGCGGTTCATCATCAATCTCCCTCCCGAGGAACTAGAGTGCGTGGTACTGATGTGTGGTGGCTGTGTGGTAGTGCAGGAGCCGCGAGCCTAGCCTCCATGCCCCCTGTTAACCCAAATACCCCCTTAGCAACCCACACCCCTGTCTGGGCATGCAGGTCCTTTGAGCGGCTTCTCTTCGTGATTGAGATGGCCTGGTGGCACTACGAGGTGCGTGTGCCGTGCCACTGGGGTCCTCTGGCATCAGTGGTGCCCCCAGCTGCACCGCTGCCTCCCCATCTTGCCCCAAACAAACCGGACCTCCCCGATGTGCTTGCAAAGTGCGCCCGCTTCCCCGCCCACGATCAGTCACATCGGCCCTTGCCCTCCCCCCCATGCCTCTCCCACAGGACAACATCCGGGCCAAGGACCCCACTCTGTCAAGCCTGGGGCTCAAGGAGTTCTGCGCCCTCATCTTCGACGCCTGCCCTGGGCTGGAGCCGTACCGCGGCAGCCTGGACGCCATCTACTCCGCTTTCAATGACTACAAGCGCGCCGTGCCCGTGCGCGGCGTCATCATGCTGGACCCCACGCTGCGCTGCTGCCTGGTGGTGCGGGGCTGGCAGGAGGGCGCCTCCTGGGGCTTCCCGCGCGGCAAGCTGTCCAAGGGCGAGTCGGACCTGGACTGCGCCGCGCGGGAGGTGCTGGAGGAGACGGGGCTGGACCTGCGCGGCAGGCTCAGCGAACAGGACTGCATCGCGCGGCGGTCGGGCGCGCAGGACATCCGCCTGTACATCGTGGCGGGTGTGGACATGGATACCCAGTTCGCCCCGCAGGCGAAGTTCGAAATTGGGGCCTACAGGTGGCTGCCCGTGGAGGCCCTGCCCCGGAGCTACGACGCCGAGAGGACGGTGGGCGGGGAATGAGCAGGGGGGGAAGGGGAGGGCGAGTATAGGTGCGTGAATCGAAGGCGCTGGGCGGCGCCCTGCAGCTGGGCAGAGCAGATGGCGTGCCCGGCAAGACAGTGGCAGAGGGACATGGTGGTGGCCCTGCCTGGACAAATGAAGCCATGGGCCATGGGGCGAGGGAGCACGCCTGCCAGGAGACTCGTTGCATGGCACACCGTCCACCCACCCTCACCGCTCCGTCTGTGCAGCCCCTGGTCGTCAGTCCGGAGGTGAAGCTCCGCTTCTTCTCAGTGTGGCAGTTCGCATCGCCCCTCCAGGAATGGATTGCCAGGTGAGGGCCTGGCGGTGCGGGGCTTGCGGGTGTCTGGGGTGCTTGGCGGGGAAAGGCCCTGTGGGGGTGGTGACGCTCTGGCTGCTCACGCACGCCTGAGCAGGCTGCGCCGTGCCATGCCTGCGGATTCCCATCAGAACACATGCCGAGGAGCCTCACAGCGACGCCTGAATGGCTACCATCGGGCACCCGCCCACAGGAAGCTGGCGGCGCCCGTCAAGCGGCAGCGGCGCAGGAATGCGGGGAAGGGCACCGGTCGTCTGAACGACTCCTGTGCGGCCCTCGCCTCTTTGGATACGCAGTTGGAGCATGTAAGGGAAGAGTGCGATGTGCCTGCGGCGGCTCAGCTCTACCCCACCCAGGCGCCCATCGCCTCCGAAGTGAAGGTGCAGGTCGTGGGCATGGCACCAGCGAAGTCCTTCGAATTCGATCGGGAGGCGGTGATGAGGGCGCTGCACGCTGGCATGGGTAGGAGTAGGCATTGATACCAGGGCAGCGGTGTAAATGGATTATCAAGGACAGAAAAATCATGAGGGTGGGAGATCCTAATAGATAATCTGGACTAGGATGGTGAAGCGGATCCCGTGAGCGCGCGCGCGGATACTTGATACCCAGGACAAACACCCGCCCATTGCCTGGCATACACGCTAGCCTCTCTCAAGTAAGCATGTAACACAATCAGCGTCGCTACATGATCCGAGCTGCTCCGAGGACCGCCGCCTGGCCACGATCACTTCCCAGCCTTAGCGCGCCTCCACGGTTGGCCCACCGTGCCAGCACCCGTGCGATGACCTTCTTCCTCGACACATTCGCCAAGAGGCAGTGGGAGGATCCAGATCATGCAGGGTCGAGGCTGACCTGGGATCAGGCAGACTTCGTGGCCAGGGTGGAGCGGGCCCATGCAGAGGGTGCCCAGCTGCGGGACGGCTACGCGCCCTTCTGCAAGCACCTGTTCATACCCAACTTCACGGACGCCGCGGTGGGTGCGGAGAGACTCACGCCCGACAATGTGCAGTCCCTGCGCTCTGGCTACCTCAAGCGCCGCCCCGAGGAGCTGGCGGTGCTGTCTCGCTGGCTGCCCAGGTCGGCGGTGCCGCCCCGCACCGCCAAGCACCTGGACATAATCCTGTACTCCCGCGAGCAGCTGGTGAAGGAGCATGCCGCCCTGCCACACGTGTCTGCCGGGGATGCAGAAAAGGCACTCCCAGATGCGCCATGGGGCATCATCTCCATCAAGGCACAGGACGAGGATCATGAGACGCCCATGCAGGTGGGTGCACGGCGGTGGTCCATACCTCGTTTGCGAGGCAATGGGTAAGGCATGGGATGATGTTGTTTGGGATTGAATCAGCCTCCTTGGGCATCGTTCCAGTTCTCCTCGTGTGGAGCAATCTCAAATACATCCTGTATACCCATCATGCACTCAGCCCATCACCATCCTGAGGAACGCTTTGGGTCGGGAGGAAGGCGGAAGTGGCGTCCCACTGGACAAAGAAGCATACGCGGCGGCTGTCGAGTACTGGGACGCTCATGCGATCATCCAATGATGCCCAGGCTGCCTCTCGGGAGGCATGCCGACATTTGTGAGTCCCCACCTGCAGCTTTAAAGCAAGCAAAGCCTTCTTGAAAGGGTTGTGTATTCTTTGAGTCGTACTTGTTATGTGTTGGTGATGCCAAGGGCGCGCCAAGTAAATGCCTCACAAAAAAGACTGCATTCACACTTTCCCTCCGAGGCCCGCGCGTTTACCATTTCGGACAGCTGACAGATGCACCAGGCCCCGCATGGGCTCTCTTGGAGAGTCACCGAACGCTCAATCACCCCGTTCTTCGTCGGCCATCGCCCGCCGGTTGGATCTCAAGGTGACAGGCTCCCCCGAGACTCGGTTCGACGCTGAGCACCCTGAATAACAACACTCGTCCCTGGTCTCCACGCCCGGACTCGGTGATCCCTTAGCTCATTGATGGCCATGGAAGTAGGAGATACGACTCTCCTGGACCACAAGACCTTTGGACCACCGCTGTCCCCGTTGTTTGTTCAAGGGTAAGCGCGGGGTCACGACGCAGACGGTGTAGGATCATCGCCGAGCTCCCCTCCGAATCGACCCACTTCCGATCCATCCCACAGGCCTTCAACCAGTCGAAGGAAATCGCGGTCACGCACGGTGTCCATGGAGTGTTCTCCCGAGAAAGGGGGTGATGATTCGTCCGATCCGAGCAAGCCCAGGGCCGGCTGCGCCACGGCCACCCCCGGGGAGGATGCCACCCGGGACGACCTCAAGCACCTGCAATCCCTGGAGGAGACTCACGCCAAGCTCCTGGCCCGGAAGCAGGCCCTGGAGACGCACCTCAAGGTGCACGACTGGTCAGCTGCAGGTTGCAGTTGTCTCCGAGCATGTTTTCCGGCATCCAACTTGGCACTGCCACTCAGCCATCCCCAACAACCTTCCTGGCCCCTCTTGCAGACCGTCATGGCCCGCATCGGATGCTGCCAGACGGAAAACATGCAGATCAAGCGGCTGGTGGGGTGCCTGAATGTCTGCAAGGAGGACTTCAACCAGCTGCACGCCCCTCCTGGTAAACGGGAGGAAGCCATGCTGAGCGTGGGCAGCCGCCTACTCAACAGCCTGTGCCCGCCGGACCTAGTCGCCAGCGCGACGCGAGGCGAAGCTGTCGCCCGCACCCAGACCGGACAGTGCGTGGGGCCATGGCAGATGATGTTTGTGTTGTGGGGCACGAGGAAGTCAGATGGTGTGGGCAGATCGATGAGGATGTACATCCTCGGAGACCACACCTGGACCAGAACCAGCTCCACTACTCTCTGGCGCCACTCCCAGGGGTTGGGCTGCGTGGTTGGAGCCCCCCCCTCATTCCCCTCCTCACAGGCTGCTGCAGACCCGGCACGCGGAGGAGTCGCAGGTGGCGGCCGCCGCCCTGGTGGCCTGCGGGAACGACCCCGCCGCTGCGATCGTGGCGCTCATGGAGGCGGCCGACAAAGCCCAGCATGCATAGCGGCTCTCCCAGCCCTCGTGATCCGTCTCCTGCGGGCCCTGCCTCCGCCAGCGCCGGAGCTCCCCGCATAAGCACACCCCCCCCCCCCTTCTCACCCAACTCCACTCAGCTTCCCGTTGTACGCTGCAGTAGGACGCCCTCCGACCCGCACCCCACCGCTGTCCTCCCTGCGGACGCGCCCAGGCTTGCCCCTTGTAACACCAATGATGGGTCGACGGCCGGGACGCTGGCTCGAGGTTTTCGACCACGGGCTCCTCCTTTGATCACGGTGCCGCTTCGAAGCCCGCGGCTCCAAGCCGCCGGCCCCGTCTCTACGCTGCCAGGGCCGATTCCAGCTCCAGGTACCAGTCCTCGGCCCCGCCCGCCATGAAGGCGCGGAAGGACTTGAACCGTGGCTCCCAGCCCAGCGCCCGCCGCGTCGCGGGGTTGGTCATGCGCTTGCCCACGCTGCTCCCCGGCGCACCCACGAAGCGCAGGGGCCCAGCGGCGGTGGCTGCGTACCGCGGGAGGTCCATCGTGGCATCCATGATGCCCTGCAGACGCCCGTAGCGGAGTGTGTGAGGGGGGTGGGTGGGGTGTCCGCGGGATCGTCGGTCCCATCAGAGGCACGGGAGTGCAGCGGGGGGAATCAGTGATGCGTGTGCCGCACTGCGGTAAATCAGATAAGATCTCTAAAGGAATCACCCCCTGCACCACCTGGAGGGTGATGGGCTCGTCGTCGCAGGCCACGAAGGTCTCGCCGCGTGGGGGCGAGCCATCGGGCCCCCGGTGCTGGAGCACCGCCAGGGTCAGACCCGCGGCGTCCTGGTAGTGCACCAGGTTGACCAGCGCGCCACCCCAGCGGTCAGCGTCCCCGCTCTGCTTCAGGTAGAAGGTGTGAGGGCCCCTGCAGGGTTGGGGGAGATTCTGACTGTTACCTGGTGCTTGGTGGGGACATTGGGAGTGGGACCTGTGCATGCTCGGGCAAGACCCGACGGGAAAAGTGGACACGCCATGCCAAGCTCCACAAACACCAAGCCAGCTGCCCGTCCATCCCTCCCTCCTGGGGAC